AAATAATAATTCCAAGGTTGAATTTTTTTATTTTAGTTCGTCATTTTGTTTTTAGGAAATCTGAATATACTCAGTGTCACTCTTACTGCTAAGGCGAATTCAAAAACACCTCATATGTCAAAATCCACCCAGCCGTTTGGGCCTTGCAATAGGTTTTTTGAATACATAGATACATACCCACGTGCGAAAAAGATTACCCGCCCGAGCCAGTCGGGTTAAACCTTCAATTAACCCTTAACTACGGACATACATTTTTTATCCTCTAACACGGACAAGGAGTCTGACAGACTCCTATTAATGTATGCAATACATTTTTCTTTTTACAAAAAGTATGCTGATTTTTTCTTCATAAGTAAAACAAAATACATCTCATACATCATGTTTATTATCAATATTTTGAAAATACTATAAAATTATGCAAAAAAACCACGAAATAATTGGCGCATTCCATTTTGTTACAAATGCTAAACATACAAATAAAAAGCAACGCTAATATTAACAAAACATATAAATCAACAGTTATTTGAATTTAAACCTTATACTATAAGATCCCACAAACGGTAAAATAGTAAGAATAGGGCTGTAAACTTTAATATAAAAAAACCTGCACGAGGTGAATGTTTCATATATTTTCTAGAGTTTGACAACAGTTTATACAAGATTTTCGCGAACACTGCAGACATATTGGCTTTTTGCAGTTCGCACATGTATAGGCAGTCTTTCTTTTTAGCTTCGAGGGGCATATATAACAATATTTACGTGTATGTAGGCGTTCCTCAGTCACAGGTGTTGGCTCTTCTTGATGTAAAACGCGACAGATTAAATGTTTCAATTCTCTGTGTAACATTGGCATCTCCAATCTGTTACGCACATGTTTTTCAATTAACTGATCCGCCAATATTTTCACAAAATTGAAACGTGTTATATCATTTCCCGGGAAAGAGGAATACATAATGAAAGAATTTGCGCTACAAATATCTATCAGTTTATAAAAGATAGCCATTGGCCACCTTCTAGTACGGCGACTACATGTATATTTTGCAGTTTTTTCATCCATTCCATCCACACCTCCTTTAGTGGAATTATAAAAGGCGATCATTTCAGGTTTATTGGATGTCTCATCGATTGTTTCGCTGTGATGCATGGTAGATAAAAGAACTACTGCTCTATTTTTCTTGGGAACATGTGAGATTATTGTAACATCTTTCGTAAACCCATAAAGTGTTTCACCCAATTTGCGTTTTCTTGCAGGTAAAAACTCAGTGGGAATCTCCCTTTTATTCTTTTTTAGTGTTCCCACAAATGTAAGGCCATTTTTTAATAGGTATTGGGCAAGCTCCATAGATCCAAACCAATTGTCGGCCGTTATGTTCCTGTTTGAGTGAAAAATAGTCTTAGCGAGCCGGATAACTGCCTGAGATGGTTTACTGAGCTTTTTCTCTTCTTCTGTTAGACCACGACCATCGCTGTCTTTACCACCATAAATGTATGCATTATATAAATACTGTGTTCTTGCATCAGTCATTGCTATTATTTTTATCCCATACTTCTCTGGTTTGGATGGGATATACATTTTAAATTTACACCTTCCCCTGAATCCCACCAACATTTCATCTATGCAAGCTGTTGCGCCAATTGTATATGAACATCTAGCATTCTCGCAAAACATATCAAACAGCTCACTAATAGCTGCTACTGGATTTACCTTCTTTCTTTCTTCTCTGTCCTCTGGATTATCAAATCGCAAAGCCACTAACAAAATGGAGAAACGCTCTTGAGACATAACAGCTCGGAATACGTCCCTGCCTCTACCGTCTGTTGCAAAAATACTTCTTACATCTTCATCGTTACTTTTGAAAATTTCGGTGTACAATAACAATCCTAAAAAGGCATCTAATTCGTCATTGTCAATATCTGCTAGCTCCGGTTTATTTTCTCTTTTGTATTTTCTTCTCATAGAAGCTAATTTTGCATTTGTCCAAACTATAACCAAGTCATACATTTCAGGAGAAAATAATTTTTTGAACAATTTAATAGGGCTCTTTTCATAATTTCCAGTTAGTCGAACTGCTGGAAGTCGCAAAATGTTATGTGCTGGTGTTCGTACTCTTCGTTCTGGCTCGCGTCGGCTCCATTTGAATCTATTTTTTCCATACAGGTATTTATTTTCTCGTTTACGTTCATTTCCTGATCTGTTAGGTTCTAACACCTGTTCACTTCCGATAGTAGCATCATCTTCGCCACTGGAAATATCCATGTCTTCGTCATGTTCAATCTCGTAATCAGGATCATCGTCAGACGCCTCTTGCTCGCTTGTTGACTCATGTTCACTCTCAATGAACACATTTTCATCAGGTTCAATATCACTGTTTTCATTGTCTACCTCATTGAACCATCTCATGGCAATTTCCTCAAAGTTAGGATCCAAAACATTAATTCGTTTGGAAGAACTTGGCCTAGAAGTCGCCATAATAAAATATCACTATACTGACGTTAACACGGACAAGGAGTCTGTCAGACTCTGAAATGTACGTAACTCCAAAATCAAAAATAAATGCTAAGTAATCACCTCAACACGCTGTAGCAAAGTGAAAAAGCGGAAGCTACTCGAAGCGGCGTTGACCTTGGGTGTTTTTTGTTGTGAGTACGGTACGATATTTGCGCGGCGGAGTCTACGAGACTCCATGTCCGTAGTTAAGGGTTAAGTATACGATGCATGTCAGCACACAGAAACTTTCAAGTTAATTGTGCTCCCATATTTAACTTTGGGAATATCATATAAATATTTATATCTTTTTGAATAAACAGTATTATTTTTTTAAAAGACCGTCGCCAGGCCGCAACCTGGAGTGAGTGGGTCGGAACCGCCAAGATGGCATAACTTCACGCACGCGCAGTCTTGTCTTGATCATCTTATTGTTCTTCAGTTGTCCTTATAGTGGTCTTCCGTTCGCACCCTACATCTCCCATCCCGGGTCTGCCGGATTAGGAGTTCGGGGATGTTTGTGCTGGATCGTCTACCTTCTTCTGTTACGAAGGACGAGATCATGTGCCTGTGATTCTCGCTAGCAAGCATAGAGGGCACCGCCGACTCAGATGTGAAAGTTCTTCCTAATCGCTGTACTCAATGGTTCCTCAATGCAACCAATCTCCTACAATCGAAGAAGGTGTGTTTGGCTGTATCGATGTTCTATGTCCGTCGGGCAATAGCGACAGTACGGGCTATCCTTAATGGTACGTACGGGTATCGATTGAAGTTGCCGTGTCCTGTAAGAAACTGCATGATGTAGAAGTTTACATCGACATGTTTCATACAGTACCAGGATTCAATCTGCTGGATAAGCGTGTGCGTCCAGGAATCCTTAGTGTGGTTCTCCAATCTTTCCTGCCACTCACGAAGGGTCCGTTGCCTGAATGCAGCAAGAGGTTGTGGTAGGTCCCTGGTGTCGTACAACCTGCGACGCTCCATGGCTAAAAGATCGATTGTTATGGCCCCTGCCACTACAAAAATGGTGCTCTCAGCGACGGTGCGATACGCTGAGGACAATCGCAAAGCTGCCGTTCTCTGAACTGATACTAGTCTTCTCCTACAAGTTGGGCATATTTCGGCAGCTCCATCCTTAGAATCCCGACATACATCACATTCCACAGGTCCGGCCCAAGCGCAGAACCCTGAGCTACAGCGGAAGTGACTTTCCGGACATACTAATCCATCCTAGATCAGACTTCTATTGGTCTTTAATTATCCGTAGTAGGTATGCCGGAATCTTGAAGCGCTCCTCTAGGGCATCCATGATGTCGTCCCACCTTGCTCAATTGAAGGCGTTTTTCACATCAAAGGTGATCAGAACGCAAATGCTGCGAGTGCGGTGATTTCCTCGACAGGCCGTATACGCTTCTTGCACCACCTCTGGAGGTGCTCCTATAGTTGAATGGCGCGGTCGGAATCCGTGTTGATGGGTGGATAATCCTCCAGCGTCTTCGATTGCATCGCGTAGTTTCTGGCGAATAAGCGTTTCAAACATTTTACCCGCTTCGTCTAGCAATCATAGTGGTCTAAACCATTGATTCCCAAAGTGGTCTATATCGACAACTAGGGGTCTATGACAACCTGCAAGGGGTCTACGTCAGCGAAAAAAAAATTGTCCAGGAAATGAATATGGGGGTCCACGATAGTGGATCTCAACACATACACTGATAGTACCTATTTACTTACATCATACTATCTTATAATATCAAAACATATACATTATATATAAAAGTACCTATGAAGTAAAAAATTTATTATATGTATATGTTTATAAAATTGTGTAAGTTGTAGGATGTTGGTATTCGCTTTGTGGTGGCAATACATTTTGAACTTGAGCCTGAGAGTCGCAGTCTCAGAGCTTCGATACCTTGCCCTGACTTGTTCAATTCGTCACTCTATAAATACGAATGTGGGACAAATACGTTTATTCGTTTCCTGAATCTTGAAAAGGAAAGTGCTAAGAAAATATTTTAAAAAAAATAAACAGATAGTATATCACACAAATTATAGTGAGTTAGTGTTATTTTGTTTGAGAGTGCTGGAGAAAAGTAAGTACATTATTTTTTATTAAATTTTAGTTTTGTACTCGTAGTTAGCAAAGATAAATAAATTACGCCAATCATGACTTTAGTTATTAGTAGTTAAATATTCAATCATGCAAAATTACACGAGTACTCCTCAATAGTTTCTTTTGGAAAGTTTTAGCAATCGGTAATATAATTACAGTGCAAACTCCGTAATTCGAGCTAATTGTTGCAAGAAGATGTTCGAATTATGGAATGTTTTCGGAACAATCAAAAAATATTTTTAACATACAGCTGCTGGATTTTCTGTCTTATTTAAATAATTTAATTTTGCCCACAGATGACTGATGCCATGTCCGAATCTAAATAAAGAGAAATGTAGACAGTACAGTGTTGATTATTTGAAATTTGTCTTCATTCCATCATTGCCGGACAAACAATCGCCTATGTGCCTTTTATGCAACAAAGTTTTGGGCAATGACGCTATGAAACCATCTAAACTGCAAGATCATCTGAGAAGATGCCACCCTGATAAAACAGAGAAAGATTTGAAATACTTTCAAACACTCAAAGATAAATTTCAGACGAGACCTACACTGGACAGAATGTTCGCTTCGACGTCACAAAGAATTGATGATGGTTTGCGGGCGTCTTACAATATCTCGTTACTTATAGCAAAATCCGGAAAACCGCATACTATCGGAGAGAAGTTAATTTTGCCAGCCGTTGAAGAGGTTTTAAAAACTGTTTTACACAAACCTGCATCTGATATCATTAAAAGAATTCCCTTAAGCAACAATACTGTTGAAAGACGTATTGATGAAATGAGTTCTGATATTGAAAGCTTCTTATGTAATTATTTGCAAACGACCCATTTCTCTATACAACTGTACGAGTCAACTTTCCCTGATAATGCAGCATAATTATTGGCATATGTTCGTTTTATTATGAATCAAGAAATCTACGAAGGTGAATCAATATTTCATGTTTTGAAGGATTACTTCATTAAAAAAGCAATTCCTTTATCAAATATAATATCAGTAGCTACAGATGGAGCACCTGTCATGGTTGGACGTTATCGTGGATTTATAAACTATTTAAAACAAAATGTGTCAGGGGTGTTAGCGGGGTGTTAGCAATACATTGCGTCATCCATCGACAACATTTAGTTGCTAAAAATTTGAGTGACAGATTGCATGAATCACTTCATTTAGTCATTGATGCAGTAAACCGAATCCGAAGCAACGCGTTGAATACGCGGTTATTTGCGCAGTTGTGTGAAGAAAATGACGAACACTTTCATCAATTACTCCTTCACACTGAAGTACGCTGGCTGTCGAAAGGCTTATGTTTGACAAGATTTTTTGCACTTTTTGAGACTATTTTAGAATTTCTGGATACTAAAGATAAAATGTTAAAAGAAAATTTAATGAAGAGGAAAACGATTTAACAATTTGCTTACAAAATTTAGGGTGGATTTCACAATTTAACAAACCATTATTCTGCACCAATAGGGTACGAGTACCTAACAGTCCGTTAAATATACCCAATCAGCCTCAAGATCTCTCCGTCAAATTTTTGGCAGCAAATAGCATCAAAGTATTCAAAACAAAACACTGTAAAATATGAAGTGACAGCTTGCCATTGAAATCTTTCCAGTTTATTAAATATTATGAAATTATGTAAAACTGAGCCAAAATTTTTAAAAATGCTTGATGTCTGAGTAAAATCTATTTTTTCAGATTTGCTGAAGGTTTTTCCATGTTTACTGCAACTTTTGTAATCCATATGTGATTATATCACCTACGGTGTGCTTATAGTTTATCCTATATTTGCAAACTTGCACTTCCAAACCCTTACATGAAAAAGCCTTTTCACTCAAATTTTTGTTAGGTGTTGCATTTCAACACATTCATACACTTCTTTCCAGTTCCTCAACGATATTTTAACCCCACTCGTCCGTAACTGTTCAACAGTTTCAACATTCATACATACAATTGCAGTTGCAGTTTTTTGTTTTAATTTCAGTGTATAATCAGTCGCACCATCGGTGATGGTACATTCAACATAACCACGTATTTAGGGGTTCGTGCAGATTTAACGTGTACACGACAGTGTAATATGTATTTCTTCACAAAAAAATCTTGGAGGGAGCACTTTTATACGGAAATTTGTTGTTAAAAAAATCCATTTTTCACACATAACAAAACAAGTGATCACAAAACATAGAATACAGTGACGTTCGAGAAGGAGAATAGACCAAAAGAGATCGGAATTGACATTTGAAATTAGTGTCTCATAATGTTAGTCATGGGAGAATACATTTGCGATCAGTGGAATGTATTGGAATGGTTAAAAAAAAATGAATTGAATCGTTTTTACGTTATCTCGACTGAAAGACTGGAATATCTGCTCTGTTTCTGTATATATATTTTTTGTGGTATTGTTGAGATTCGCTTTGCTTCTGCGGCTCAGAGATATAGTGTTTTCTTCTGATAAAACTAGCGTAGTTTTTGTGTTTAAAATACTCTACTTTAGTTAATACCTTTGATCCTAAAGTTGCTCCCATAACAATATTAAACAACTCGCATGTCGTGTCGCGTATTTCGAAACGATGTCAAGGGCCGGCAGGGGAAAATATTTCTCTGAGAACTAAAAATCATTAAACGCGCTGTTTTCAGTCCATTTTATTCTATCCCTTGGGGACGTACAGAATGAAGAAAAGACTACAGTGCTCAGTGGCCACTCAGTGGCTCAGTGCTCGTCTGTAATGATAATATTCAAATACTACTAAACACCTAAATAGGTTTCTGGCCTTTCAATTTCGAAGCAACCTGTCCTCGCTTAGAGATGGTAGCACAGTTAAGGATAGACTCGGGGTATACGGTTACGGATGTTTATGATTCCTCTCGATATCGATATATCGTCATGAGACCATCGATGCGTAAAGATCGATGTTCTACGTCCGATGTATCGATGTTTTCGATACATCAATGTATCGTCTATCGTCGCCATCCCTATATTGTATCCCCGCCAGTCACCAGTCAAAAACCTTAACCTCCAATATTTTATCTATTTATAATTCTTTTTAGCTCTTATTTTTCAGTAATTACTAATAATTTTAGGTCTATGTCTACAGTAATTGCATTATGCACCTCGGAGATGTAGGGATTAACATGTTTTACACATATCGGTGTTCTAGGATGGGGACGACCATACTGTTTTGATTGCTTTGAAGAAATTCATTAACCCATGAAGAAATGATTACTATTATGATTAAAGAGAGATGAGGAATTGGTTGGAATACATTTTATATTCTATGTGTAGCTATAATGATCACATATACACACAGTATATTGAACAACAAATTTCGAGATTGCCATGAATTAACAAACGGCCAAACCTGCTGCCAAATTTAACAGCTAGAAAATCGACCTATTATTTCTCCCATTCCTATTCGCTGAGGGGATAACGGATGGTCAAATGTACACCTATAACATAAATCAAAATACATGAAAGTTGTCCTGTTTTCTCTGTACAAAAGCATCATGTTGGAATCAAAAAGTGGTCTTGTTTATAATACAGTCGAATTTTCACGATTTTATTCAATATTTTAATAGAAATCACTGATATTCTGAGACCTTTGACAGCTTCTGTCAAATTGCATTTCGATAAGGTACTTTCCTATTGGTCCATAATAATAATGTTGGTGAAATCGGCCCACAATATGGTTAATTTGCAATTACAAGGCGACAGTTTAAATTTGATTAAAACAAAGTCCATCTTATCAGCGTTTCTTGCCAAAGTTAAACTAATGAAGCAAAATATTGGACGGGGTGAATTTTCTCAGTTCCCCAATTTGTCACAGACAAGCTGCCAGGAAGACGACGTTTCAACTTACGTTCAACATTTAAATGCCCTCTATTCAGATTTTGAATCTAGGTTTGAGGATATTTTGACTATGGTAATACTACCGTGGATAATTAATCCATATGGTGACATAGAAGAAACGAATGTCATAATACAAGAGGAACTGACTGAACTAAGTACAAACGAAGAACTTAAGGTTCAGTTTAAAAACGGATATCAGCAATTCTGGCTGCAAAACAACATACCCGTTACTTATCCCGTATTATGGAATATAACGAGGAAATTTTTAATTTCCTTTCCATTGTCATACCTAGTGGAAAGGGGGTTCAGCGCTGTTACCAATCTCCTAACGAAAAAAAGAAACAGACTGGACATCATTAGCCGAGGAGATTTAAGATTAACCCTTACAAAATTGATGCCAAATGTTGATAATTTATTATTAAAGCATCAGGTTCATCCTTCTCACTAAAAATATTGATTTATTGCTTATGTTATTTTATTCATAGTTTATTTTATGTTTATTGGTGTCTGACCAATAAATGCCCGCATTGGGAATAAGTGCCCGCATTGATTTTTTCAAAGAACCCCCCTTTGTAGGAAATATATTTTTTTTTTAAATTATTCTGAAAATTCAAGCATAGGTACACACTAAAATTCGTAAATTTTTTCCTATTTTTAGATAACTTAAACGTATAAGAAGCGGAATTTAATCAAAACTAACAGTGAAATTATTGTAGAACATACGTTTATGTTATAATTAATAAATGAACTCGCTTATTGTACTATTTTAAGTAAAAAACTTTTTTTATTATTTTTCACTTTTTTTTTATTTTATCCCTCTTATTTTTTTTCAATGCGGGCACTTATTCCCAATGCGGGCACTTATTGGTCAGACACCTGTTTATTTAATGTTACGTATATTTTACATAACAGATACAAAATTTTATTTTGAGTAGTTTTAATTTAAATTCAATTAATAAATGTATAAATTAACATGTGTTTTTACTTTAAGTTTTTAACACTAAACTTGACTACAGTTACAAATTTACAGAAAATCAATATCAGGTAAGTAGGGGGGTCTACCCAACACGGAAAAATATGGCAAGGGGTCTACTACACAAAAAAGTTTGTGGAACTCTGGTCTAAACGATGACGATGTTATGGGTGGACCCTTTCCTTTGACTAGTAGTACTAACCTCTGTAACTTCCATTTTGATGGAAAGATACCTGCGTTGTACATGTTGCGCAGAATAGTCGGGTGTTCGAGTGCTATAGCTTTAATGATCTCGATCGGGACACAGTCGGGACCCGCTGGCAGCGGCTCTCAGTTCCCCTTCAGTGAAAAGATCAAAGTTTCCGTGGACTTGAAAATCCTTAATGGGTTTGTCCGGATGTTCAGGGAACAAAGTGGTCACGACTTCCTTCATCCTTTCAGTAGATTGATGAGGCCGGAAGCAAATCCTCCCGTGGTGGGGGGGTGAAGGGGTGGTTTGGGTGGTGGGGTGTGTTTAAATTCCGAGTCCTCCCAATGACCATCCTCATAGCATTGAAAACGTGTTGTTTAAAAGAAATGAGTCGATGGATAGTCTCCCCCCACTACTATAACTCATCGACCGGGCGAACGAGCAGCAGCGCTCTTTTCCCACTCCAATCTCGTCATCCCTACACCTTAATCCGATGATATGACCATTCTTTGCCCTCTCAATCGTCATGTGCGGTGGGGCAAGGGGCAGGGGGTGTTTAAATTCCGACTCCTCTCAATGACCGTCCTCATATCATCAAAAACGTCTCGTTTAATAGAAATGTGGAGTCGACGGGCGATGTAATCCATTGTTGCCCTCTCAATCACCGTGTGTGGTGCGATATTTTTTGTAGACTACCTGAACTCTTGTATGCACCTGTGCAGTAACGTAATCTAACTCTCCTCAGGTAAATAGCTCGACGGAACTCATAGTGGTGCGGTGTGGTAAGGGGCGGGGGTGTTTAAATTCTAAGTCCTCTCAATGATCATCCTCATAGCATCGAAAACGTGTTGTTCGACAAATTTGTATCG